GTAATAGTGTATTCACGGCAGTTACCAAAAACGGGACGGGACACTTATCTAGACACATGAAAGCTTGTGCAAAACCAGCTAGTGATCCAACCCAGCCCAAAATTTCCCAATTCCATCCATACGGCTTTACATACAACTATGAGAGGGATAGGGATGAACTAGGAAAAATGATAGTACACGCTGAACAACCTTTTCTTTTCTCGGAAAGTGACGCATTCAACACCTACATTAACAAAGCACTACAACCCTAACATAAAAGAATCTCTAGGAAAACCGTTCGTTCCGCAGCAATGAAAAATTTCCTAGAGTACAAAGTCCGGTTACAAGCCGAATTGAGTAACCTTAACTGTAGAGTATCTTTAACAGCCGATTCTTGGGATAGTGGTTATAAATATCACTATTTATGTGTGACTTGCCATTGGGTAGATGATCAATGGATGTTACAAAAAAGAATAATACATTTCAAAATGCTGGAATACCCACACACCGGCATTAACATTGCTCACCATTTAATGCAAGCAATAGACGAATACAACCTTCGAGATAAAATGATGTCTATGACTTTTGATAATGCAACCTCTATGACATACACAGCTAATCTTATCAAACAAAACTTAACCGATGTACTATTAGACGGTGAAGCTCTTCATACTAGATGTGTTTGCCATGTACTTAACTTATGTGTACAGGATGGAGTTCGGGCAATTGGCCCATACTACAGCAAAATCAGAGATGCTATTATGTCTATTAATAGCTCTAACATGAGATACCAAGAATGGAAGAGTTTTCTAAAACAACAAAAGATAAGGGTAATAAAAATTAGAACCGATTGCCCAACTAGGTGGAATTCCACCTATGACATGTTAACAAAGGCAATTGAGTACAAGGGCCCGTTAACATTATTTTACAACCAAAAATTTCCACAAAATGCTTTGTATGATGATGATTGGAATAACTGTGAAAGATATATGCAATTTTTACAGTTATTATATAACATGACGTATTGTTTTTCTACTGTTTACAATCCTTGTGCTCAAAACTTTCTTTCTAATGCATGCTTACTCGCCCAACTTTTCGCTGATCATCGCGATCAAAGTGATTATGATCAGTATCTTCCAGCAATGGAAAAAAAGTGGCGTAAATATTATAGTCAGATTCCTTTGATTTATATTTTTGCTTCCATATTAGATCCTAGGCAAAAGTATGAAAACACATTTATGTTAGTTGACATTTACTTTCAATGCATGTTTCTTGACGATGATGTAGAAAACTATAAGACTAATGTGAAGGATCAGTTTTTTGCTTTATATAGAGTCTATGAAGCCAAATATGGCACCGTTCCTCGCTCAGGGCCTTCCCAACCATCTAAAAACGTAAGTAAGAAGGCCAAACATTTATTTTCACAAGCTACTAACTTGATTTCAAGGTTTTCAGGTGATTCATCAATCAGGAGAACGCAAAGCGACGTCTCGGAGTTGCAGATGTACCTGAGTTACGACTTCACCAAAGGCATGGACGACGATGAGATAAACAGCCTCGACCTCCTTGCATGGTGGAAACAACAAAGCTCGAAGCATCCAACTTTGGCGGCAATGGCACGAGACATTCTTGCTATCCAAGTTTCCTCCGTCGCCTCCGAACGAGCTTTCAGCGCATCCGGAAGGGTTTTAGACGATAGAAGAACAAGTCTAAAACCCGAAACACTAGAAATGTGCGTGTGTTTCAAAGATTGGTTGGATGCGGAAAATCGCTCACAAGACCGTTCTTACGACCACAACGACAACGAAGAAGGAACCTCCGCTTCCGGTTCGGGTTCGGCTAGTTCCCAATCTATGCAACTAGCCGATGACCTTGAAGGCGAAGGCGAAGACGAAGACGAAGACGAAGACGAGCAAGAAGAAGGAGAAGAAGAATAGACAATTATTGTATATTGTACGATTTTAAAAATATCAATTTTATCATTTTCCAATTTTTGTTTAATACCATCATTGTATGATTTTTATCATTGTTATCATTGTACAATTTTCTCAACTCAAGTAATAATAATATAAAGTACGCATTATTCACATCCAAAGTCCAATTTGCCTTTTTTCCCCGTTTTGTTACAATTTGTAAATTCATATTAAAAAAAAATAAAATTATACCAATTACTAATAAATCATAAACATTAAATTTTAAAGTAATAGTATAAAGTAAATATATAAATATAAATATTGAATATACAAATTATAAAACATAAATATTCAACTTATAATTATAAAATTCATAACTTAATAACTTATAACTTATAAGTTATAAACTTATAAGTTACCTTATAAAACTTATAATTATAATTTTATAACTTATATACATTATAAACTTATTAATTAATAATGTTGTCATTAAAAAAAAAAAAAAAAAAAAAAAAAAAAAAAAAAAAAAATTGAAACTGCACCAGCCCGCGCGGGCCAGCCCGCAGCCCGGCACGTGGCCGGCACGGCACGAGCCCGCCAGGCACGAGGGCCGTGCCGTGCCGTGGGCTGGCCTGTGAAAATGGCCGGCACGGCACGGCACGAAATCCTGGGCCCGCCGGCACGACCGGCACGGCACGAACTAGCCCGCGGCCCGCCAGGCACGGCCCGCGGCGGCCCGGCACGGCACGGTGCCCAGGATTACCCCCATTTAGAGTAACCAATCACTTCCCAACCGTCACGACTCCGTAGTTGTCGAACCTTTACTCTGAACTCACACCCACAACCTTTCCGCTTTGTATCAAACCGAGTGGCTGTACGAAAATCTCTTTCTTCTCTTTTGCGATAACGGTCACATCTCAAAATGCGATCCATTCTACCATCCCGTTGAGATTTATGAGTTACTACTACCAAGCAAAATCCAGCTGCAATTGCAACCTCTTTTGCCCAATCAATCGCCTGTTGAGCTTCTTCGAATGGACCATCATGTCCAAATATCCCACTGTAATCATTTCCGTCTCCACCATATTCCTGCATCAATTATATATTACAATAAATACATTTAACGGATAATACATTTAATTTCTATATTTACACAGAATTAACACAAAAAAAACATAATTATATATAATCAAACTTAATTTTTATAAAAACCCAATTCGAATTTTCAAACTAAATTTAAAAATATACCATTTCGAATTTTCAAATTTAATTTTAAAAAAACCTATTTCGAATTTTCAAATTTAATTTAAAAAAAACCCATTTCGAATTTTTTTAAAAAATCATTTTCGATTTTTTTTTTTTACAAAAAAATTAAATAAAAAACAACAACAAAATCAAAAAAGAAAAAAAAAAATAATTATTAAAGGTGGCGTCTGCCAGGGCTACCACAACCACTGGACTGGCGCCTGGCAGGGCCGCCTCACCCAGTGGAGTGGCGTCTGCCCAGGACGCCAGTCTGGTGGTCTGGGCGTCTGGGCTGGACGCCACTCTGGTGGTTCTGGCGTCTGGCTTGGACGTCCAGGCTACGGTTTGGGCGTCCACCCTAGGCGCCGGAGCCACTCCGACGGTAAACCGTGAATTTTAACGGTGACTTACCTCGTTTTTCGTCGACGACGACGTACCTCCGGCGTCCCCCGCATCTCCGGCCTGCCCTCCGGTCTCCCCCGGCGAGCCAGTACGGCTCCACATTTTTTACACCGAGATTATTTCAATTTTAGAAAAAGGGCATAATGGTCAAACCATATCATATTTGTGGGCTTTATATGGTAAATTGCGGGCGATGTTTAGCGTTTCACTAAAATTGAGGTTTGAGTAGTCCAAATTTGTATTAAAAATGTTTTTGTTATGTAAGAAGTAATTGTGAAAGATAAAATTAACACTCCATACAATAGTAGTCAAACAACTGTAGCATTAGTTAACAATTAATTCAAATAATCATTAGTAAACATATTTAAACAAGGCTAAAATTTTGTTTCTTGATATAATCTTCACATCTAAAAATATTGAGATTTCTTAATGTGTATACTCTAGACCTTTAGTCTTCGTTCTCAATAATTTCTTGCTAAACTAAACTTCAAATTATTTAGATTATAATTTATTTACCTAGTCCATTATAAAATATTTGGACCCAATAATGTTAACCCACCAACCAACAATATTAAATAGTACGAAGAAGTAGTCATGATCTTCAATCAGAGTTTACAATAATACTCCATAGTAAAAGGACAGGAAAAGAATGAAGTGATGATCTGAGCCCATTCAGTCTAACATTGGGCCGGACTTTTTCAATGTTGTTTCTTATCCGCTATTTGTTAATGACTTCGCTGATTTGATTTATCACCTTTGAATTTTCTCAGCTTATGATTGATCACTTTTTCCTTAAAACACCCCATGGTTGTCATTTCGGCTTCGAGGGTAAACATTTATTAAGTCAACATTACTAAGTCATGCCTTACAATAAACTAAACCGTAGTTTAATCATTGTTATATTCATTAATGGCTTAATCCATTACCTCACAAGCTTAATTTAACATTAGTTTGTGTTGATCTATAAGCAAGTGGTAGCATATTACTATATTAGTATCCCACAACTTCTCACATCTTAGCATACGGGTTCGAAGTTTGATATGTACCCTAATTTCATATCCAAGCATCTTATTACTGAAATAAGGCACCCAATTTAACCGATATAACCTAAATCGAATGCCTTTTTCAATTCTTCAACTACTACCTCCGTTTCATATTATTTGCTATGATCAGACATTTTTCTTCTTTACTTTATCTCAAATTGTTGCAATTAATATGAAATGGATGTAGAAGATTATTAAATGAAATACATACCTACTGTATTATTTGTAAGTATCATAATTGATCAGAATACATATACAAGCTCACACCAATCATTTGAGTAATAATAAGCCAATGTCCCAATAATGACAATATTACTAATAGGCCATGGCCCAATATTCACAGGAATGGCCAATGGCCCAACAATTATACGAGTAATAATAAGCCAATGACCCAATAATCATAATTTCATAACCCACGTACAACTAAAAAATCATTGAATTAATCCGTACTATTGAAAAAACTTTCAACAGTTTTTATTTTTTAACATTAACACATTTTCTGAATCTATCAATATAGAATTTCACTTCTAAGTTAATGCAATACATACTTTTTTTCGAAATAAACTGATAACTTTCAGTTCATCATACACTTAAAAGTGAAGAATGGTTCTTCAAATAATCAAACAAATTACAAATATTTGCACCTCAAACAAACTTGAACTAAATCACTACAAATAAATCCAATAATTAGCCAAAAAAATAAAATTCTTGGCCAAACATGCACCCAACACATTACACCACCCTCCAACAGTCCAACCCAAATGTTTTAACAATTACAACCTAACCAAGATTAAAGCTTAACAGGATACTTATCCAACGAATCAATCCATGGGTTCGTCCTACACTTCCCAACCTCAACCTCCCTCAATGACTTCCAAACCGCGCTATTACACTTAAAACCCGAACCGAACGCGATTTGCCAAACTCGGTCCCCGCCCTTGACACGACCCTTAGCCTCCGTGTAGGCTAGCTCATACCAAAGAGAACTACTCGAAGTATTCCCGAACCGGTGAAGTGTCATTCTAGAAGGTTCCATATGCCAGTTTGTAAGCTGAAGATTCTTCTCAATCTCATCCAACACTGCCCTTCCACCAGCATGAATACAAAAATGTTCAAACGCCTTCTTAAAATCAGGTATATAAGGTTTGACTTTGACTTGCTTCAATACTTTCCTCCTAATCAAGGTTGCCAAAAACATAAGTTGTTCGGACCATGGTAACACAAGTGGTCCCAAGGTAGTTATGTTGGTTTTTAGCGCGTCACCCGCAACCGCCATCAACTCGCGTGCTAGTGAGACTCCAACTAGCCCTTTTTCGTCCTCGCGTTGGTACACACAGTTGTAACTGTTGTCGTCCGAACCCTTGTGGGTTCGGACCGTGTGGACCAACTCGTACTTGGATCGACTACGATCTTTAGCCTTGTTAGATAACAAAACAGCCGCACCACCCATGCGGAAAATACAATTGCACAAAAGCATGGATCGGTCGTTACCAAAATACCAATTTTGTGTAATATTTTCCGTGCTAAAAACCAAAGCATAAGAATTGGGGCGGGCTTTGAGTAAGTGTTTGGCTAGGTCAATGGATATTAGGCCCGCACTACAGCCCATCCCACCTAAATTGTAGGTCTTAATTGATGGCTTTAATTTGTAGTGGTTTACTATCATAGATGAAAGTGATGGTGTTGGGTTGAATAAACTACAGTTTACTATCAAAATATCAATTTCCTCCGGTCTAACCCCGGTTTTCTCCAATAGGGCATCAACCGTGTTAAACATGACTAACTCGGCCTCGGCTCGAGCCTCGGCCATAGACAAATTAGGCGGCTGCGACGTAATTCCTCTTGCGAAATACGTCTCGTCCCCTAATCCGGACCGGGTTGCGATCCTCTCTTGAAAATGAACCATCTCTTCGTTGAAAGGACCCGAGTCAACAGTCATCTTAAGGAAAGACTCAACTGACAATTTTCTCTCGTCTTCCGGTTTATAACACGCGAAATCAACGAGGTAAATGTGTTTGTTTCTCTTGGCCCAGTACACTCCCAACACAACAAGCAGCACTACTAATCCTGTCAAACCAGTAGCCGTGTCGAGGAAAACAGCCCGGTTGGTCCAAAGATCAGAAACCCGGTCCATTCTTAGACCGGTAAGCTGAACCAAAGTTGACAGTAAAAGAGGTAATGCCAAAAGGAACACCAAAAACGAAGTGGGTGATTTGAAGGAGTATCCCAACCCTAACTTCACGTACTTAAGCTTCACTGACTGAAGAAAATCCGGCAATTTTCGACGGATTTTTATGACGATAGACGCTTCGTCTTTGAACGCCATTTCCGCCATGAATCTCTCCTTATCCATCTCAATGCTCGCCATTGTTATTTTTTTTTTGGCTAATAAATAAAGAATAACACTCTCTAGCTGGCTTAGCTTAGCTTATTAGGAGGTGATTATATGTATATTTTTTGTATAACCTAAGGTTTTTGTTTTAAAAAAATGATAGTAGAATGGTTTGTAATAGTCTATATTAATAAAGATAATATAGAGAAAAGGGTGTGAATAAAAGTCTAAGAGAAGATGACCTAAAATTGGAGTTTTGATCAAAATCCCATCAAATGGGAGTTGGGAGGTTAAACTTTTACGTCTAGGTGTGGTTGTTAGAATGAAACATGTGAGGAAGAAGCTAAAATGAGACTCTTTTTTGTAATTGAAGAATGAAAAAATGACAAGGAAAAAAAAAATAATGAATTGTTTGTTTTGGAGAAGAGTGTATTTGGTTAGGGTATATATAGAGTGCATTGACAAAGAAATATATGAGCTGCAAGAAAGCTGGATAATTTGAGGGAATTAAATGTGAGTAGTTCATGGAATTGGATAGATAGCTCAACCACCCAAACTAGGAAAAAGGCCGCATTTGAATATTAGAGGAGGCATATTACAAAACCTTTTTTTTTTTTTGGAGGAGCTTACTCATTAAAATAGGTAAGCTACTAAGGTTTATTGACGTACAATATTTTTGTTGTAAATATAATTTAATATCTTATCTTATATTTTTTGTTGTAATTAGAATGTTGTTTATTCTGTTTTTCACCACCATAACCCTTTAAAATTTTATCCTAGATAAGTTTAGTCAATCTTTTCTTTAAATAAAAATAGAAAAAAGAAAGAATGATCTTATGAATTATGTCTACATACCTACATATACATCAAAGAAAAACAAAATATACGAAGTATAAGTTTTATTTGCGTATATTTTGATTTGTTTATTAGCACAAGTACATTCTGGTGAAATATACTTCATACAAAAATTATAAAAACTTGTTTACGTGCTTTTGAGAAAAAAGAATTGTAAGGAAAAAAGGAAGAAATTGACTAAGAAGAAGTAGGAACATGGGTAGTGGACTAGTGGGGTAAAAAAAGTAGATTACGTTCAAGTAAGCCTTGAAGTAGGAACAATGATTTTCGAAGAGTTTCCTTAGGTTTCTAACATTCTAATGTGGGTGTTTTTTGTTCAAAAGAAGGAACAATTTTTAATATGGACCCACGTGGCTTAGCTTCTTGTTGATTTATATTAAATTAGTTACTATATTTAAAATAATGCTTAGAAGTAGTGTTACTACGAATAGAATTTAAATAATACTATAGTATAAAAAGAAGGGTACTCCATATTTTAATTTAATCAGTGGGACTCAAAGAATAGGAAGGTTGGTGGGTGGATTATAGGTGACTTAGATTTAATGGAGGAAGAAGAGCATTGAATGGTGGAATTGGGAAGATTTATGGGGTTTACTTTATTTTGGGACGGCAAATAGGATCCTTTTTGTCTTAAACTCAAATTCCTCGTAATATGCCAAGTAGCTACAATGCAAGCTAAGCTAGGCCATGGAAAGGAAGGAAGATATGACATACAATTATACAAATTATTTATACGTAAACGAATATTATTTGCCAAGACTTTTTCAAATGTTGAGATTTCCTTGAGCTCAAAAGCTTCATACGTAGTAAAATTTTTACTAATTGTTGTTATTAAGAAATTTTACTCAATAATGATATTAGAAAAGTGCTATAAAATCCGATCTTCAATTACGCGGAACAATGCAAGCTTTGGATTTTGCTAGTCAAACCATTAGACAAAACACTCATTCTACGCGAAATTATCCATAGTTATAAAGAGTTGTGTGGGTGGCCATGAAAAATGAAAACACCCCCCTAGCGGTCCCCCCTTAATTCGGTCTGGCCTTTTAATAACAATTCTTCCATTTTTTCATAAATCATATTACGAAACATACTTTAAATGTTTATATCAAATTATGAATGCTAGTCAAATAGACATTAATATATCAATATGGGACATTTTTTTTAATGGATTTTGCAATGATATGGGTTTTCAATTTATACACGAAATTCTATCTTACTGGAAGAATAACACGTCTAATACTTTAATAAGCAATAAAAATGGTTGAAATATTATAAACTACTCCGCTATAAAAATTATGTAGATAGTGTATTAGTATCGATCTATTGTTGGTTCGTTCACATGAAATGAAACCCGCCATGTAATTTTCAACCCCATTGTAATTTGATATATCCTATAGGAAACATTCCATAAAAAAATACTATGGATGAATGTCTCACAAGTAATTGAAGTCTTAATCTTAGGAGCCAGACAACAAAATCCTCTAGAATAATTTCATGTTGTTGTACGGATATGATATTTGTAAGCTATATCTAACTATGAAAACATACACCATTCAAATCCTATAATCCATTTATGAAATTGTCAGCCAATCAAATTTCTAATTAGAGGGTCACAAGTCGTGACTTTTATCAAACAATTGTTGAAAATAGTTGGATATCTATTCCGAATTACAATTGTCACTTCAATTTTCATAATTATATTGATGATACTCCACATATACAATATATAATTTACAGTTGGCTTTGGTAGGTGTCTTACCGTACCACTTCACTATTGGAGCTGTAAATATTTAATCTTCTGATCTCTTGGGTCCATGTGGCTTTTATCACTTTCAACCGATTCTTCGTTCTTTAATCTACATTGGATTTTTTAGCTCGGGAAGGTAAGGTAAGTATTCAATTCAAGACTTAATGTACTATCTTAATCCAATATAATGGCTGTTGATAAGTATATTAGGTGACTCGTACTTCGTAGCTTTGTCCGCCCGATCGGGCGGACATTGCCCGGTCTGACCGGGCGGAAGAAGAAGAGGTGCCTGGCAAATTCGTTGAAGAAGCTGCTCTCGCGCCCGACCGGGCGAGCCTTCGCCCGACCGGGCGAGCCTTCGCCCGACCGGGCGAGCCTTCGCCCGATCGGGCAGACCTTGCCCGGTCTGACCGGGCGGTGGGGGTTGGATACGTTGAAGCATTCGTATGGAGTCTTCTTCTCGCGCCCGATCGGGCAGACCTTGCCCGGTCTGACCGGGCGGAGAAGGAAAAATGCGGAGACGCGGATTTTACGATTTAAAGTTATCTTTTATGTTATCTTTTTGCCCAAGTATCTTTTATGTTAGGGATTAATATAAAAACTCCCAAATATCAGTATTAGGGTTAAAAGAGAGACAGAGTGAGAGCCGTTCTTGAGAAATACAAGAATCATCTTTGTAATCTTTGCAGTTTATAGTGAAATCATTCGATCTCGGTGCCCGTGGACGTAGCTATCACATCGATAGTGAACCACGTAAATTCTTGGTGTTGTTCTTATTGTTTGCATTGAATTTCTTTATTGTTTTCTTGTTTGTTTACGACCTTTGCTTCCGCTGTCGCACAACAATTGGTATCAGAGCTCAGGTTCAATCCTTGGAGAGTTTCTTGAAGATAACAATGGCAGGAGATTCAACAATAAGAATTGAGAAGTTTACCGGGAAAAATAGTTTCGGGCTATGGCAAATTAAGATGAAGGCTCTGTTAAAACAACAGCAGATATGGCGTCCGTTGGCTCCAAAGAGTACTACTTCGGAGTCAGGAGACGGACCGACTGACTCGCAGTTAGAAGTTATGGAAGAGAAGGCACACTCTACCATATTACTTAGTCTTGATGATCAAATCATCACGGAGGTTGCTGATCAGGAAACGGCGGCTGGATTGTGGCTGAAGCTGGAGTCATTGTATATGACTAAGTCGTTGACCAACAAATTATTACTGAAACAGCGGTTGTTTAGCCTCCGGATGCAGTCAGGTACTTCCTTACGGGAACATCTAGAAAAACTTAACTCTATTTTGCTTGATTTACGTAATTTAGATGTTAAAATTGATGATGAGGATGCTGCGTTGATTTTACTTGTATCTCTACCGTCTAGCTTTGAGAATTTTGTAGAGTCTTTTGTTGTTGGTAAGGATTCTATAACCTTAGAAGAAGTGAAGGCAGCACTTCATACTAGGGAACTCAGAATGAAAGCTACGAGTGATAATGGGGATAATGGTAGTGGGTTATTTGTTAAGTCCGGAAAGTCTAAAAAGAATAAGGGGTTTAACAAGGGGAACAATGCTGGGTCGGGTGCTGGAAACGGCAAGGATGGATCTAGTAAAACTACTACTAAAACATGTTATTACTGTAAAGAACCGGGTCACTTTAGGAATAATTGTCCGGTGAGGAAAAACAAGTCCCAGGCTGCTGTAGTTGAAGAGAAACCGAATGAGAGCTATAATTCAGAGGAAGATTTAGCATTAGTCAGTTCTGCTAGGTCTGATGATTTATCTGATAACTGGGTTCTAGATTCGGGGTGTTCGTTCCATATGTGTCCACGTCGAGATTGGTTTGATACATATGAACCTCGCAATGGGGGTATGGTTATAGTCGGTAACAATGCTCCATGTAAGGTCACAGGTATTGGTTCCATGAGGTTGAGGACTGTTGATGGGCGGAGGTTAACTTTGACTAATGTACGGCATGTTCCTGCTTTAGGAAAGAATCTGATTTCATTGGGTACCCTGGATGAATTGGGGTACAATGGTGTGTTTTCAGATGGGGAGTTGTGTATTTTCAGAGGTTCTGAGTTGGTACTTAAGGGTATCAAAAGGAACACCCTCTATGTTTTTGAGGGTGTTACACTGCCTAGTTCTGCGGTTTGCGCATCTGTATCTCACCAGGAGATGACTAAGATTTGGCACATGAGGCTTGGTCATATGGGGGAGAAGGGGATGCAGCTATTGTCCAAGAGGGGTCTTCTATCCGGGGTCAAGGTTGCCAACCTTGAATTTTGTGAGCATTGTGTGTTTGGTAAGAAACACAGGTCAAAGTTCAGCAAGGGTGCTCACATTACTGATGCAGTGCTCGATTACATCCATTCAGATTGCTGGGGTCCATCTAGAGTTGAAGGTATGGGAGGTTACCACTATTTTGTGTCATTTGTTGATGACAAGTCCCGATACACATGGCTTAGGTTGCTTAAGTCAAAGGATGAGGCCTTCAAAGTTTTCAAGCAATGGAAAGCTTTGGTGGAAAATCGACAAGGAAGGAAGATCAAGAAGCTACGAACGGACAATGGGCTAGAGTTTTGCAAAGACGAGTTTAATCAGTTCTGTGCAGATGAGGGTATAGGTCGGCATCATACTGTCAGGAAGACACCACAGCAGAACGGTGTAGCAGAACGGGTTAATCAGACACTGCTAGAGAGAGTCCGATGCATGCTCTCTAATGCAGGGCTTGGGAGGAGGTACTGGAGTGAAGCTGTGTTAACAGCTTGTTATGTCATTAATAGGGGTCCTCATTCTGGAATTGATTCCAAAATTCCGTTTGAGATCTGGAGTGGTAAGTTGCCTAAT